GAGTGTTGGTGTTGAAAATTGAGCCTTGGGGCTGGCACTGTGGCATAGCTTGTGAAGCCACTGCCTGCGGTGCTGGCATCCCACATGGGCTCTTGTTTGAGGTCTGGCTCTTGGTCCCAGTGCCTAGCATACACAGTACCAGACACACAGGAGACCCTCAATTAGTACGTCTAGCATGAATATAAGGAATAATCTAGCCTGTGATTCCTTATACCATGAGTTATGCCTGCCTGCCTTTCTTTCTTTTTCTTTTCTTTTCTTTTCTTTTCTTTTCTTTTCTTTTCTTTTCTTTTCTTTTCTTTTCTTTTCTTTTCTTTTCTTTTCTTTTCTTTTCTTTTCTTTTCTTTTCTTTTCTTTTCTTTTCTTTTCTTTTCTTTCCTTCCTTCCTTCCTTCCTTCCTTCCTTCCTTCCTTCCTTCCTTCCTTCCTTTCTTTCTTTCTTTCTTTCTTTCTTTCTTTCTTTCTTTCTTTCTTTCTTTCTTTCTTTCTTTCTTTCTTTCTTTCTTCTTTCTTTCTTTTTTTTAAGATTTATTTTATTTATTTGAAAGAGTTAGAAAGGTCTTCCATCTGCTGGTTCACTCCCCAGTTGACCGCAACGGCCAGAGCTGTGCGGAGCCGAAGCCAGGAGCCAGGTGCTTCTTGCGGGTCTCCCATGCAGGTGCAGGGGCCCAAAGACTTGGGCCATCTTCTACCACTTCCCCAGGCCATGGCAGAGAGCTGGATCAGAAGTGGAGCAGCTGGGACTAGAATCAGCACCCATATGGTGTGCCGGTGCTTCAGGCCAGCGCTTTATTAACCCACTACACCACAGTGCCAGCCCCCCCATGCCTTTCTTTTAAATTTTATTTATTTAAGAGGAAGGAGGCTCCCATCCACTGGTTTATTCCCTAAATGCCTGCCAGGCTGAAACCAGGAACTGGGAATACCATCCCAGTCTCCTGTGTGGCTGGTGGGAACCCAGAGAATTGTACCAGCACCACTGCCGTCTAGGGTTTGCATTGGCAGGAAGCTAGAGTCACAAGCCAGAGCTGGGAGTCGTGCTTGGGTATTCCAGTGTGTGATGTGTGACATTTTCTTTTCTTTTTAAAGATCTATTTATTTGATAAGTAGAGTTACAGACGGGCAGAGAGAGAGAGAGAGAGAGAAATCTTTCATCCGAAGCCAGGAGCCGGGGGGCTTCTTCCAGGTCTCCCACAGAAGTGCAGGGGCCCAAGGCCATCTTCCACTGCTTTTCCAGGCCACTGCAGGGAGCTGGATCAGAAGTGGAGCAGCTGGGTCTCAAACCCTTGGCCATATGGGATGCTGGCATTGCAGGGGGTGACTATGCCAGGTTTGACCTTCATGCTGGCTTCAGCCTTCTTTCTATCCTCTGCTGTAGGCTGAGTGTATTCCCACCCTCCTGATTCATATGTTAAAGGTGGTGCCTTTGCAAGATAATTAGGTCTGAAGATGGAGCCCTCTTAAATGGGATTAGTGTCCCTGCTTTGTGAAGATGCAGCATTGACCATGTCACTCCAGAGATGGAGGACTGGGCCCTCACCAAGAGCGCAAGCGTGTGGGCACCATATTCTTAGACTTTTAGCCTCTAAACTGTGAGAAATGACTGTTGCATAAGCCATTCTTGTTGTAGTAGCCTGATAGACTAAGACATCACTTGCTGTTCACAATTGTGATTCTCAACCTGATATGATTCTTGAATCAAAAATACACATTAGTGAAGAGAAAGAGCTCCCTTCCCTTTATGCGTTTGTATGCACCTGCAAGTTTTGATGTTGTGGTAGTTGTGCCTGGGTTAGAGAGATTGAAGGGGAAAGCAGAATGAGTGGGGGGAGGGTACCCTGGGAAAGGGAATGGGATGAAAGAATCTAGCTGCAATGCAGAGTCCCAGTCAGTAACTGTGGCTATCATTATTAATGTGGGTTCCTTCATCTTCATCTGTAGCTCTCCTGTTCTTCCTGGTTCCAAATAAGAGGCACTCCAGCTTAACGGTGAAATACTTAGGTTTTAGATGTAGACTTCTGCCACTTAGTAGCAGGATAACAACTACTTGAACCTGCATTCAGTCTTCTTGTTTGTTCTGATGCCAGAGAGCTTTAAACAGTCAACTCGGTATACTTAGTTTTTGGTAATGACATCAGTTGTAGGATTTGCTTGTTTTTTTTTTTTTTTTGTTTGTTTTTGTTTTTAAGATATATTTATTTATTTATTTATTTGAAAGGTAGAGATGGAGAGAGAGGTCTTCCATCCACTGGTTCACTCCCCGTATGGCCCAAATGACCAAGGCCAGGCCAGGAGTTTCTTGCAGGTCTCCCACGTAGATTCAGGGGCTCAAGGACTTGGGCCATCTTCCACTGCTTTCTCAGGCTCATTAGCATGGAGCTGGATTAGAAGTGGAGCAGCCGGGTCTTGAACTGGTACCCATATGGGATGCAGGCCAGAGCTTTAACCCACTACCCCACAGCGCCGGCCTCCTGGGTCTTGTTTTGTAACAGGGGTAGAAAGGTTTGAACAAGTCACCTTTAACTTCGGAAAGATACTGTGTTACTGCTCTCTGTAAAACGGTTTGTTGGAGAACCAGAGTTTGGGTTAGTGCTGAAAATCAGCACCTATTTTCTGCTTTAAGCGTCAGGGTGGTAGGATATTTTTGGCCTCTGGGCACTTCCACTCCAGCATGAGGCAAGGCCAACAAAAGTTCAAAATGAAATGAGTTAGACTCTGTTAGTCTTATCAATAGGAAGTAATCTAGAAGTTCAAAGAAAAGGTAGGAATCCGAGGCTGGAGAGATAGGATCAGCAGGCCCTTAGAGAATCTGAGTGAGGCTCTGGAGGAGACACTGGCTTCAGAGAGGAAGTGCGAGATCATGCTTACTGAGTGCCTCCCGCCAGGCACTTGTGAATGAGCTCATGAGAGAAACAGGCTGGGTGGAAAAGGGAAAAAAGCAAAGGAAAGGGGCCGGCGTTGCGGCACAGCGGGTTGAGCCAGTTCCAGTCTTACTTGCTCCACTTCTGATCCAGCTCCTTGATGTGCTTTGGTGCAGCAGCAGAAGATGGCCCAGGTACTTGGCCCCTGCCACCCGTGTGGAAGACCAGGGTGGAGTCTTGGCTCTTGCTTCAGCTTGGCCCAGATGCATCCATTGGCAGCCATCTGGGGAGAGAACGGGTAGATGGGAGATTTCTCTCTCTCCCTCTTTCTAACTCTGCCTTTAGAATAAGTAACTCTTTAAACGTGGGGGGAGGGCTGTGACATAGTTAGCTAAGCCTCCTGCAGCAACAGCATCCCATATGGGTGCCAGTCATGTCCCGGCTGCTCCTTTTCTTTTTCTTTTTTTTCTTTTATTTATTTATTTATTTATTTAATTTGAAAGGCATTGCTACAGAGAGGCAGAGGCAGAGAGAGAGGTCTTCCATCCGCTGGTTCGCTCCCCAGATGGCCGCAACAGCTGGAGCCAGGAGCCAGGAGCTTCTTCCAGGTCTCCCACTGCTTTCCCGGCCACTGCAGAGAGCTAGATGGGAAAAGGAGCAGGGGCCAGCGCTGTGACATAGTGGGCAAAGCCGCCACCTACAGTGCTGGCGAATGGGCGTTGGTTCGAGTCCCAGCTGCTCTACTTCTGATCCAGCTCTGTGCTATGGCTTGAGAAAGCAATAGAGGATGGCCCAAGTGCTTGGGCCCCTCCCTGTCCAGTGGGGGAGACCTGAAGGAGGCTCCTGGCTTCAGGCCATTACGGCCATTTGAGGAGTGAAACAGGGGATAGACTTCTCTCTCCCTCTCCCTTCCTCCCCCTCTTTCTTCTCTCCATCTCCTCCTGGGTCTGCCTCTCAAATAAATGATCTTAAAAAAAAAAAAAAAAAGCCAAGGAGAAATAGAAGGTACTGCGTGTGTTGAAGGGGAACAGATAGCACAGGACACGGAATGTCACCAAAGTGATCTGTGTAGCACCGTGAGTGAAGGTGTTTCAGTAAGGTTTCTGTACCCGTTTATCCTTTGCAACATCGCTGAAGAACAGAACTGTAAAAACCAGCTAAGCTCCTATTGTCTTTTAGGTTTGAGATAATAAGAACCAAGGTGGGTCACAGAGAGAAGACTTTTTTTAACACTTATTTATTTGAAAGAGTTACAGAGAGAGGAGAGAAGAGAGAGAGACGTCTTCCATCCGCTGGTTCACTCCCCAGTTGGCCACAACGGCCGGAGCTGTGCCGATCTGAAGCCAGGAGTCAGGAGCTTCTTCCAGGTCTCCCATGCAGGTGCAGGGGCCCAAGGACTTGGGCCATCTTCCACTGCTTTCCCAGGCCGTAGGAGAGAGCTGGATCAGAAGTGGAGCAGCTGGGTCTTGAACCGGCGCCCATACGGGATGCCATTGCTTCAGGCCAGGGCGTTAACCTGAGCCACTGCCCCAGCCCTGAGACAAGACCTTTTAAAGGTATTCAGTGGTGCCTAGAACACAGGAGGTTTAATACGTGGAGCCCACACTGCGTTTTAAGCCTGTTTGATTTGAGATGGCAATAACACGCGTACATACAGTTATAGAGAGTCAGCTATATCCAGACTTTGGTGAGACTTGGAACCAAAATGGACCAACTTTCCTGCTGTTGCAGAACTTGCCCTTGTGGAACACAGCCATGCTTACAAGTTGTTGTCGGTGGTGACTGTGTGTACAGTCCAGGTTAGGCTGGGTGGTCCATCTCTCACTGCAGAGCTGAAACCTGCACAGCTGGAGTGAGAAGGCAGACGAGGCGAGCCAAGGGCTGAGAGCCAGGAAGTCCGATTCGAGTCAGTTCCACCATGTCGGAAGTGTAAGATGTGTGTGGTGTCTAAAAAGCAGAACTCGGAGATGGAGGAGGAGAATCAAGGAAGCTGAAAATGAGTGTTAGAGCAGTGGGCTGGGACCGGGAAAGTGCAGTGGCGAAGGTGCTGGCAGTGAACTGCAAGAGGGCAGAGAGGAGCGGGGGTCCTCACAGTTTATAAAACCTATTTACTCAGCTAAGATAATCTCATGTGTTTCAGATGAAAAAAAAGACATTGACCACGAGACAGTGGTTGAAGAACAGATCATTGGAGAGAACTCACCTCCTGACTACTCAGAGTACATGACAGGGAAGAAGCTTCCTCCGGGAGGGATCCCTGGCATTGACCTCTCAGATCCTAAACAACTGGCCGAATTCGCTAGGTAAGTTGTCAGAACTTTTCTTGCTTTTAATTATAGAAAGTGCTTGAGTCTTGCCAGCCATGTTTCCTTTGTGCCTGAGTCACAATGATGGCTTGTACTTTTCTCTAGGGAAACTTCTGAAAACAAAAGCATTTTATTTTTAGTAGTAACTCTGCTATTAATGTGAGTGGCAGCAGACAATGAGATGCAGCAAACACACTTGGGTTCCAGAATTGGTGTTGCTTCTGAGTAGATAAAGTTGCACACAGTGTATTGAAATAGCTATCCTTACGTTCCCACGTGGCTGCTCTGTGCACATTTTAAACAAAATAAACTCATAAACTCTGGAACGTAAGGCCTCATCTCTTTGCCTGCCTGGGGTTGAACAGAGCCTGAGACAACTCAAGAAATTTAGCCGAGGGCAGCCTCAGGAGGAAAGGTTTTTGTGATCCCGCATCCTCTAGGGACACAGTTGGGGGTCAGTGTTGTGCGCACTGGGTCGAACTGCTTACAATGCTGCATCCAATATCAGGGTGCCAGTTTGAGTCCTGGTTGTTCCACTTCCGATCCAGCTTCCTGCTAATACACCTAGAAAAGCAGCGAAAGATAACCCAAGTACTTGGGCCCCTGCCACCCAAATGGAAGATCCAGATAGGGTTCCTGCCTCCTGGCTTTAACCTGTCCCAGATCTGACTGTTAAGGCCATTTGCGTGCGGTGTGAACCAGCACATGGATCTCTCTGTCTCCTTCCTTTTCCCTCTCTGTAGCTTTGCCTTTAAAAGTGGGCAGCTCCTGACACTCAACCTCAGTTTCCCACCTACCCAAATGGGTTTGAGAATGTCCTTACGTTTGATGGAGAGGATTCTTTTACTTTTTCTCTTCTATGAAACTAGCTGTGGGGTTATATAAGGGTGCTTCAGAAAGTCTAGAGGAATGAAATTTAAAGTTTTTTAATGCAGAAATTTTGAAAATCCATAAAGTTTTTCATAATAATTACTTCCCTGAACTTTTAAATGTTTATCTATTTTCATCTGCTTGAAAGGCAAATGACAAAAGGAGAAAGAGACCTTCCATCAGCCAAGACTGAACCAGGCCAAAGCCAGGAGCCAGGAACTCTGTCTAGGTCTTGTGTGTGTGAGTGACATGAGCCCTGATGCTGGAGCCGTCATCTGCTACCTCCCAGATCTGTTGGCAGAGATATTGGAAGTCGAGGAGCTGGGGCTGGAAGCATCACTAAACCCACTGTACCATAAGCCTGCCCCTCCGTGAACTGTCTGAAGACCCTCACACACACACACACACACACACACACACACACACACTCAATCTGATCTGTTGTGGCAGGACGGTTAAGGCTGTGTCATGGATACTGTGCCAGAGTATGTGCGCTCGTTAAGTGTGCAGTGAGCAGCTGCTAGAGGGTCTTGAGCGGGGGGGGGGGGGGGGGGTGCGTGCCCAGAGCTGTAATTTGGGAGAAGTGTCCGCAGCCACACCCAGGTTGGATTGGTGTAGGTAGAGGCAGGAAGGTGTGAGGTCAGTTGAACAAGAGCTAGTAAAAGCCTGGACTGGAATTAGGGCAGTCATGGGGTAAAGAATCAGTGGGAAAGCTTTGGGAGCAGGTTGACTTGACTGTGTCTGGAGGGGGAGTCAAGATTGACATTAAAAACTTCACTCTTGAGCCGGCGCCGTGGCTCAATAGGCTAATCCTCCACCTTGCGGCGCCGGCACACCGGGTTCTAGTCCCGGTTGGGGCGCCGGATTCTGTCCCGGTTGCCCCTCTTCCAGGCCAGCTCTCTGCTATGGCCAGGGAGTGCAGTGGAGGATGGCCCAGGTGCTTGGGCCCTGCACCCCATGGGAGACCAGGAAAAGCACCTGGCTCCTGGCTCCTGCCATCGGATCAGCGCGGTGCGCCGGCTGCAGCGGCGGCCATTGGAGGGTGAACCAACGGCAAAGGAAGACCTTTCTCTCTCTGTCTCTCTCTCTCACTGTCCACTCTGCCTGTCAAAAAAAAAAAAAAAAAAAAAAAAAAACACTTCACTCCTGGGGCTGGCGATGTGGGTAAACCCACCATCTGCAACACCGGCAGCCCATATGGGTGCTGGTTCAGGTCAAGTCCAGCTGCTCCATTTCTGATCCAGCTCCCTGCTAATAGCCTGGGGAAAGCAGTGGAAGATGGCCCAAGTGTTTGAACCCCTGCCACCCATGTAGGAGATGCAGATGAAGCTCCCGGCCCAGCCCTGGCCGTTGTGGCCATCTGGGAAGTGAACCAGCAGATAGGTGGAAGATCCTTCTCTCTGTAGCTCTGACTTTCAGATAAACAAATAAATAAATAAAAGCTTCACTCATTGAGTGATGGAGAAAATTCAGAGAAGCTTCCAGCTTGGGATTCAGGGCAAACAGTGTTGGTTTCAGGTGGTGATAATAAAACCTCCACATTGGACTTGAGAAGGCTTTAGGAAGTGATTGGGGCCAAGCCATCTAATGATAGGTGGCTGAAAGCACGGAAGGGGTAAGTAGGCTCTGAGAGGGGAGGTTTTGGGAAGAAAAGAAACCAGCATTGAATCTTGGGAGAGGATAGAAGGGCCAGTGACAGAGTGCAAGGGTCATTCAGACGGCAGGTAGAGACTCAGGAGAATACAGCATCCTGACAGCCCGTCCAGGAGCTTCTAGAAGGCCCAGCAGAAAGAGGAATGAGACATTGACAGCGTACATCAGAGTAATAGTGGAGGAACAGAGGGTTGGGGAGGGTTTTGAAGAGAGGGAACACAGGGTAGAAGCAGTGAGATGTGGAAGACAATAAAGCAGTGTTCTGAGAGAAACTGTATTTACTATAAACATAGAATCCTGGCCGGTGCCATGGCTCACTAGGCTAATCCTCCGCCTGCGGCACCGGCACACCGGGTTCTAGTCCCGGTCGGGGCGCCGGATTCTGTCCCGGTTGCTCCTCTTCCAGTCCAGCTCTCTGCTGTGGCCCGGGAAGGCAGTGGAGGATGGCCCAAGTGCTTGGGCCCTGCACCCACATGGGAGACCAGGAGGAAACACCTGGCTCCTGGCTTTGGCTCGGCGTAGCACACCAGCCGCAGCGGCCATTTTGGGGGGTAAACCAACAGAAAAAGGAAGACCTTTCTCTCTGTCTCTCTCTCTCTCACTATCTAACTCTGCCTTCAGCCAGCAAACCTATCAGTGGAATACATTGGCAAAAAATGGCAGTCTGGGGTGGGCCTTTGCATGACAGTTAGGACACCTGCTAGGTTACCTGCACCCCGTGTTGCAGTGACGGGGTTTAGTCCTCGGCTCTGGCTCCTGATTCCAGCTTTCTGCTGATACGAACCCTGGGGGGCAGCAGACGTCCCAGGTGATTGGGCTCCTGGCACTCATGTGGAAGACTTGGGTTGAGTGCCCAGCTCCTGGCTTTGGTGCCCCAGCTGTTCAGTGTGGGCGTTTAAGGAGTGAACCAGCAGTAGGAAGTTCTCTCATCTCTGTCTCCCATCCAACACACACACCCACCTGCCTCTCAAATAAAGACTTAAAGTCAGATAAGCACCCTCTGGGGTGGGCATTGTGCTGCAGGGGTCCAGCTGCTGCTGAGGGTACCCACATCGCATAGTGGAGCGCAGTTAAGAATCTTGGCTCCTCCGCTTCCAGGCAAGCATCCTACCAGTGTGCACCCTGAGAGGTAGCAGATGATGGCTCGAGTGTTTAGACCCTGCCACACACATGGGTGACCTGGAGGGAGTTCCAGACTCTTGGCTTCAGCCTGGCCTTTCCCTGCCGGTTATGGTTTTTTGGGATGAACCAGCAGATGGACGATCTCAAGATTAATTAATCAGTTTCTCTGTCTCTATCTCTCTCATCTACATCCTCTTCCCTCCCTCCCTCTCTCTCTGCCTCCTTCCTCCCCTCCTGTGCTCTAGCTGAAAATAAATAAAGCATTTTTAAGAAGAACTGTTTCAGAGATGCAAGGATTCCTTATATATACCCTCCTGCATGTCCTGAGGAGTTTAAGCCGGTGACTGTTGGGAGGAAAAGTTGGCAGTGGAACCCAGGACAGCGGTACAGCAGGCTAGAAATGTGTTCCGTGCAGCACAGGAAGTCAGCAGGTCTTGAGAGCCCTTTGATTTGTTGGTGGACAGAGTGAGTAAGTAACCTGATGGTGTGAGAAAGAGTCTCCAGAAAAAAGGCAATCAGAAAATCCCTGCACGGGGGTCTAGCTAAGGAGTAGGAAGCCACTGCCCTCAAACGGGGTGTAGTTTGTCACTGGTGAAGGGAAGGAGCTCCTAAGTGTGATCCCAGCACGGTCAGTCCTGCAGTCTGTTTATAGAATAGGATGAGCTCCTGCTCGACTGGACAGGTATGGACAGTGAAGATACAGGGTCTGGGCACTGTAGTGGGTTGAGGGTAGGACGTGTTCCCTCTCACATGGCATTTCAGTAAATCTCTCCAGTTGGGCAGTGGTGGTGGCAAGAAACCTTGGATAGTGGAACTATTGTGGGCCACACCACCTCCTTGTTGGTGAAGGCCCACAAGACTGGCTCTGTTGGCCTCATCCCCTCATCCCCTCTGGTCTGTGACTCCAGGCAGCATTTGAGCCCCACACTGTTGGCTGAAGGAGGTCAGCTGCTTTGCCCTCTTCTCCTTTGTGAGGTGCTGGGCTGGACTTGAAACTGACCTCAGAATGTTTCAGGTGCCTGTTGCCCTCAGCATGGACTGCTTAGTAATTCATTTAGAGGTGTGGGTAGGCAGGTATAAGAAATGATGACTCACTGGGCAGGTGGGACCATGGGACAGTTCTTTCCTCCAGTCTGTTTAGTGAGCGCCTCGAAGTGGTCAGTGGGTGAGACACAGCGAGTTGTAGTTCCTGATCAAGTCTTTGTGTGTGCTTCATTCACTCGTTAGCCCTTTGAAAACCTTTCGTGTGGGAGGGTTAGAGTAGAGTCGTTAGACCAATCCCAGATTGGTTATTACTACTTTTTTAATCGCTGCCCATACTGAGACTTTGACATGACTTACGTAAGGATGAA